AACCCTAACCCTAACCCTAACCCTAACCCTAACCCTAACCCTAACCCTAACCCTAACCCTAACCCTAACCCTAACCCTAACCCTAACCCTAACCCATAGGGCAGCGGTCTGTTTTGCTACATTTTGAAGGGAGACGGGGGTGACAGCTATCTGTAGAATGATCGATACATCTGGCAAAGACGAGGCTGCAACTCCAGCTAGTCAGATGGGTCAGATTTGCAGATTGCACAGGCTTGTGTGAGGAGGTGCTTGCCCTCCCAGATGAGGATGAGGGTACTGTCCTTGCACCCGAGCGGGTGTTGCCCTCAACAGATCTGCCAATTCTGATCAGCATTGGCCACTGCGGATAAATTGTTGGGGACGATTGTGCTTCCATGCAATTGACCCTCTCTTTTTGCGCGCGATGTCAATATTCTGGGTATAGTGCGAGTACCTTCCAAATGGCAGACATGACCTGTAACGTGTGTTTTGCTGCCTGCACCAAATGTGGACCCAGCAAGGTAAGCGATCTGATGTTGCTTCAGCCTGTGCTTTTTGCTCGAGCTCGATTGCATACCTTGCTGAAGCCGCTTCAAACTGTTTTGGAAGCAGATACTTGGCAGAGCACAGATTGCATCGCCATGTTGTGCTGGTCCCTCGACGCCCGCACGCGGCTTGGGTGCGTCATCTGCGATGCAAGCCCGCGCTTGTAAACAGCCGAGCGGCCCTCGTAGCAGCAGCTTCGAATCATCTGTCATCGCGGCTGAGGGTCACGCGAGCGGTGGCGAGGAGAATCGCAGCTACGATGCCGAGTGGAAGTCCGGCTATGAGTATAGCGCTGATGCCTATCAACGAAAGAATGGACTGCTCCCAACGCAGAATTACTCCGACCATCTCGCTGCAGGTGCGGGAGGGAGCGGGATGCTGTGGCGGGGCAGTTGCTACTCGAATGTCAAGCTTGACTGACTGTTTTCTGTGCGCGACGGCAGGCCCGATGTCGACAAGGTGAGCAAAGATGGTCGAAGGAATGGAATGGAGGCAGGTCGCGCAGCGGCGCTGTTATCAGAGTCGCGCATCATTGCTCATTCGCGTGCGTGTGCGCGCACCACACCACGCGGCAAAAAGGGGCTTACGCCCGCATCAGGCAACTCTTCTCGGACACGCACGCGCCTTGCCTTGCACCCTCCGGCGTTCTGTGTTGACGCGCATGCGCATGCGCATGCGCCCGCCCTCTCTCGGCGCTGATCGCGAATCGCGAAACCTGAATTTATTTGCACCGCTCGTCTCTCTGCTGCGTGGCCGAAGCGCACTCGGCCACGCATCACCATGCATGGCTGCACAAGACACCGCGCAGCTGCTGCATGCAATGCGCTCGGCGTTATGCGCGCGTGGCTTCGACAAGCGCGGTACCTGCCTGCAATCCAACGCTGCTCGTCTTGTGCGCGCGCGCTCTCGCATCCTTGCCCGTCTAACCCTGACATTCTTCCCAGCATGCTTCTCACCGAGCGATCGTGACTCAACGCGTCTCGTAGCCTTCGAGCCGTGGTCTAGTCTTAGCGACGCGAGACTTGTTGGGCGGAATTGCCTGAGCGCTGATAGGGACTCGCTCGGGGGACGCGAGTTGGTGCGTTGGTGAGGGGGCCTGAGCGCTGATGTGGGCTCGCTCAGGGGACTTTGTCGACAGGAAGCGCAACCTCGAGTGCGAATACCGGAGGGTGCCTCTCACCGTTCGCGCGGTGTTCCTCCACAGCCTGGATGGCGATTCCGGATCGCCATCGCCCGGGGCATCCGGCATGGCACCACTGCTTGCCCCTCACGCGATTTCGGCGATTGCACTGATGGGCGCCAAGAGTAGAGTTCCGCAGCAGCAATTCCTCGCCGCTGTCTCGCTGACTCGGTCGACGGATCATGCAGCCCGAATCAGCTTCAGCCCGACCGAGCTGTAATCAATATATCTTCAGTCACGAGTGCAAGTGAAGTGAAGCGCCCCAACACGATGGCACAGCCTCACATTGATTCAATGGGTCGGTAGTATGTATATACGTGAGCAGCTCATTCACGAAAGTAAAGTAGCCATAGTCGGAAACGCAAGGCAGGGCATTCGTGATTGTCGCTCGGCCATATCGGTGTGAGAGCCCTTCACTCAAATTGTGACACGATTTCTCATCCTACCATCACCATCGTCATGCACCGCAAATTCCCAAGACCATGGCGTCTACAAGCCCAGCCACTGGTCTGCAAGAGCAGCAGCATCAGGCATCTCGCCCTCTTAGCAGGCGCCCACCTAGCGTCACGCCGCTCGTGCTGCACGCTGAAGATCGCGTTTGCAGAAAGACTTGGCCTCGTTTGCCTCGCTCTCGCGCCTCTGTGCCCGAATGTTTGCCACCCATGCCTTTGCCTCGCACCACAGCCGACCCAGATGAATCCGCCTCGCCAGCGCCGCCTCATCTCGAGCGTCTCGGCTCCACTTCAGCATTCGACTTTTGGTGGGAGCAAATTGGCAGCAAGGTGATGCGCATGCTGGATGATGCCGACTACTCCGTGGAAGCGAGGGCAAGGCACGAGCTACTCTTGCGCAGGTACATCATACCGGCCCTTGGCCCAGCACCTCGTCGGCATGGTGCCGATGATCCCAAGCCTCTTGCCGACAGCAGCAGCTATGCACGAGCTGCAAATTTGCACTGCGGCATCCCTATTCCTCGCTTCGACAGCTTCATGTGCGACGATGCTACACCGGTAGAGCTGGGACTGACCTGGGTTAATGGTAGACCGAATGTGCGCATCGCCATTGAGCCGCTGGATGAAGAGGAGGAGCTCTTGTTTGGAAACGGAACGCTCAACTACCGAGCTACTTGGCGTCTGATACACAAGCTCGAAGGAGCTGGTCTCGGTGACTTTACTCTGTTCAAAAAGATGGTTGCCGAAGCGACGACCTCTTCAGTGCAAGAGGCGATCGCGACCAAGCCATTGGGCCAGGTCGCACATCACAACGGCCCGCAGAGCGCCATTGCGAGTCAATTCTTCATCGGATGGGATCTCGGACATGACGGATCGGCCATGATCAAAGCGTACGCCATGCCAAATGCTCGAGCAAGTGAGCTTGGCGTCTCGAACCTGACCGTCGCAGATGCTGCGCTGCAAGCTGCAGGGCTGCGCACCTGTCCGGCCTGGCAAACACTGCGCTCGTACATGACGGGAGCGCCAAATTCCGATTTGGACGCAGGACTGACCAGCTTGGAGCGCCCAGAACTGGTAATCTTGAGCGTCGACTGCCTTGATCCCATCGCGGTGCGAGCTGGCCAGGTCCCGCGTCTCAAAGTCTACCTCAGGTATCCGACAAGCAACTTTGGTCAGATTGTACGGCATTTGACCACGGGTGGACGATGCAGCGACGCTGGCTCTCCGACGCTGTGGCGGCACGTCCTATCCCGCGCATGGCAGCATCTGTTTGATCGGGACAGCGACACGCACCCAGAATTTGATTCGACATCAGCCCTCGATCTGACAAGAGGCACGCTGCTGTACGTCGACTTTGGCGCACGCCGTCAGTCAGAGGCGCTCACCTCCAAAGTCTACTTGCCTGTACGTTTTGCCGCTGCCAGCGACGAGAGAGTTGCGGATGGAATCGAGCGGCTGATCCACTGCGATGATGTGGAGAGAGGTCGGTACGCCGCTCAGATTGCAGCGCTCACACGACGGTCTTTGCAGAACAAGGGCATTCACAATTACGTCGCTCTGGGTCAGAAGAAGGATGGAAGGATAGATGTGTGCTCCTACATCAACCCGCAAATTTTCACCCCTCGGTCCGAATCTTGGCAGGTACCCTTTCCCAACTGGCCTCTCGCACAACAGCACGTTGCACCGCGGAGATGACGCCGCGGCTCTGCTAACCCTGCACTCACACCCAAAGACTCGCAATTGTATCCTTGCGCCCTGCTCATTCTGTCATTGTGAACGCGTGCTCTGCTCTCTCCTTGTACTGTATGCCCGACTCTACGTACCCCACAAACACTCCCGACTCACCATTACGCATCCAGAACCTCGTCAACGCCTTGCAAAGAGTGAGACACGAATTTCGCACATGATACTCACGACTACCACTACTGAACGCTCGCTCGCTGCAGCTGCACGCTAAAAGCGTGCAGTAGGGCACGCGACGGGGCGACTCGCGCTAGCGATCCCACCAGAATCGCCGTCGCCAAGTGCGTCACGACGCGAGCACGAGTCACGAGTGTCGAAGCGCCGAGGGCGACGTCCTTCTTCGCGTTGACACAGCATCCCACCCGTTCGGCGTTTCATGCGTGCGAATTTCCATGCCCGCTTAAACTCACCTGCATGCAGCAGGGCCTATTCGTGATTCATGCATGCAGCAGGAACCTGCTAATCACCTTTGGATGCTAGCGCTCGATTTGACCGAGCGCAACCTGGTGTTGATATGATTCTAAAGAAGAGGAGCGAGCAAGCTTGCGCTGCGTCTCCCTTTTCGTAAAGCAGCCTCGAGCAGAAGCAAGCAGGCACAGGCAGACAGTCAGATAGGCAAGCAAGGACACGTGTGCGACGGTGCACACGAGGTGACGATCGGGTGTTTGTGATGTTTCACCTTGCATGGCCCTGCACGCTGTCCAAGCAGGTCGTGCGCGCGGTGTAAGGGCGAGGTCGTCCACTCGCTGAAGACTGGTGACTGTTGTTGCGCTCGTGACATGTCCGAGCAGTCAAAAGTGACCTGGCAAGCTGTCACGTGTGCCAGACGCACGCGTACACACAAACACCCTTGACCACGATGGCATGTGGACTACTTGAACGTCTCTCACGACTACCACCATCCAGCAGATGACACAGCGCATGAGAACAAGCGGTACAAGATCTTTGACAGGGTATGGGAAACATGTCATCGACGGGACGTCGAGTGGTGGTGTTGGACGGGCAGCACCTCGACATTGCTGCTTTGACCGCTATTGCGCGGTGAGTGTCGATGCGGTACAGTACACTGAGCGCATCACCTCCTGACGCCAAGACGCTATGCGCGCATCTTGTCCGCGCAAACAGCGGCGAAGCGGACGTAGCCGTTGAGCCCGCTGCGCTGGATCGCTTGCTGGACAGCGAAAAGCGGTTGGTCACCGGACACCGCAAAGAGGGAGCCTTTGACAAGCCAATGTACGGCATCAACGTCCCATTCGGCGCAGCAGGCGAGTGGGCGAACTCGAAGCAGATGCTCGAAGCTCTGCGGTCGTCGCGCAGATCCTCGCTTCGACTGATGTCGCTCGAGCGCACTCTTCTTCGCTGCAGCATACAGCACGGTGCAAGGTGAACGCATGCAGACTCTAGAGAATCAGCTCGCGGGCCTCTTGTACGGAGACCTGGGCAGGGCAGGCCTTCTCGCGGATGATGCGATGGACGGCGCGGACGGCAGCAGCAGCGCTAGTCGCCTCGATCTGAGCATGCCCAAAGAGTGGGTGCGCGGAGCGATCGCTCTGCGTGCTCACGGGTTTCTGCGTGGTCACTCTGGCGTGAGATCCAAAGTGCTGCGAGGCCTGCTTGCACTTCTCGAGCACGACATTGTACCCCTTGTCCCCATCCGAGGCTCCATCTCCGCCAGCGGTGAGCAGTGGGCCAGGACAGCGCGCGCACGCGCGCGCGCGCGGGTAAAGGCCGTCTTGCTCACCCCCGCTCAACCCTTTCATCTCGCCAGGTGACCTCTCACCGCTGGCATACATTGCGTGGGCAGCCACCGGGCGCATTGACCTGCGCGTACGAGCCAAGGACGGGTGCGTAAAGTCGAAGCAACACACGCCTCCTCTGATGTCTGACCGCCGCACCATCTCACTTGCCTTTCAAAGCTCGATCAAGACGGCAAGACAGGCTTTGGAAGAGTGTCGCATCCCTCCAATCAACTTTACACCGCGCGAACTGCTCGCTACAGGGAACGGCACGGCAGTGTCTGCTTCTGTAGCTGCGCTCGCCATGCAGCAGATGCGCCGACTGTTCTACGCATCTCAGGTGGTGACGGCGCTCGTGAGCGAAGCGATGCTGGCGTCCAGCAGCCATCTCGATCCCTTTATCCACGACGTGGCCAGACCGCATCCTGGACAGGTGCAAGTTGCGAGGAATCTCCGGGCGCTGAGCAAGGACAGCACGCTGCTTCGCGCCCACGACGAGGCCCCCGTGGCAAAGATTAGAGCGCTGAGCGGAGGGGGAGGAGGAGCGAGCGTGCTGTGTGCCGAGGTGATGGGGGAGCAAGGTCAATATCTGCTTCAAGATCGATACCACATTCGCACATCTCCACAAGTGCTAGGCCCAGCGTGGGAGGATCTGGAAGCTGCGCATCAAAGTCTGCTCGTCGAACTCAACAGCACGACGGACAATCCGCTGGTGCGAGAGAGCGACGGCGCAGTGCTGCACGGAGGCAATTTTCAGGGCTTTGCCGTGACTTTTGCGTGCGAAAAGATGAGGGACGTGGCAGCGATGACGGGTCGCTTGCTGCACGACCAATTGTTCGAAGTCATCAACTCGACCACAAACAACGCGTTGCCCGCCTGTCTGGCGCTCCACGACTCGGAGACGGATGGAGGTCTAAGAGGCGTGGACATTGCGTGCGCATCTTACGTCTCTGAGCTCTGCTTTTTGGCGCAGCGCGCGAATCACTTTAGCAGGAATGCCGAGAGCGGCAATCAGAGCATCAACTCCATGGCCTTGCTCGGCGCCCGACTCGCGCTCGACAGCGCCGAGGTGTTGACTTCGCTGGTCGCATCGGCGCTCTTTGTGGCCGCGCACGCCTTGGATCTTAGACTCATCACCACCTCCTTCTTCGCCATGGTCAGCGACAAGCTTGAAGCGGTGCTGATGCCTTTGACCGACGACATTTCCGCCATCGCGCAGGACTCGATCGTATGGGCCGCCTTGTCGACGTGGATGCGCACATGGCACTTGACCACGACTTGCAGGGCAGCCGCTGCGGGCAGGGCGTTTGCGGCTGCAGCGGCGACCGCGACATCGACGCAGTCGAAAGAGGGAGCAGCATCAGCGAACTGCACGCACGGCTTTTCCCAGATGCAGCATCGTGTAGCCTCGCTGCTGGAAGAGGCGTGGAGCGACCACCGAGCAGAGGCGATCGCTAGCGCCAAAGAGGGCAAAGAGACTGTTGCGCGCACAGGGTTGCAGCTTGGACGCGGGTCCGATCAGGTTCGACGCTTCATCAGAAGGGAGCTCGGCGTGAGCATGTACTGCGGCGTGCAAGAGGCCTTTATACCGACGGATCAAGAGCCGCGTACGGTGGGCGATGCGGTCACCGAGTTGGCCAATGCGCTCAGAGAGGCCAAGTTTGATGCGCTGTGGATCCACTTGCAGGCATCTTCGACGTGAGATGTTGGGGCGAGCGAGCGCCGCTCCGCCACCACGTCTCGATCTTTTTTACAGCGAGCAGCGAAACGCGAATAACGTGAGAAAATCAACGAGAGAAATGTCCACCGAAGCCTTGTCGCTTTGGCAGCTCGTGCGAGCCCTCTCACGCGTGTCGTATGTATGCTATCATGAAGCATAATCAGCACCGAATCGTGAAGTCATATCAAAAAAATCACGAACGATCACTCGTGACTAATCGGCGAAATGGTGAACCCTCATCTCACGTGATCTGCCAAGATTTTGATTGGGTCCGAGCGCGAGGTACCGTGAGTGCACCGCGAGGTCCTTGCATGCATGCAGCCACCGCACCGCCCCGTGCGCGGCAGATGCATGGATGAGGGCGCATTCGTGATTCAGATTGCAGCGAGCGGCATGCGTGTGATCCTTGCTGCTGCTGCTGCTGCATGGGAGCGATGAGCATGCAGCAGCGTGGGTCATGTCTCTCACTCGTTCGCCACTTTTGACTCAGACTCATCAGACGTTGCTGACATCCGCATCGATCACGCCGTCATCGAAACATTTTGAGCGCAGCTTGTGTCTGGGACGATCAATCAACCTGCACCCGCGCGCGCCAGCAGTAGCCACTCGATCAGCATCATGGTCGCTGATGCAAACGCCAGCAGCAAGGCTTCTTCTGGCGCCAATGTGGCGCCGCCGCCGCCGCCGCCGCCTGCTCTCGCTCTCGTCGACTACGCGCGAGATTTGCCCTTCTTGCCTCAATTAGCACCCATCAGTCGCCATCTGCTCTCGCAGCAGATCGATCTGCTGGCAACTCAATCCGCACCGTTTGCGGGTGCGCAGATGGAGAAGGTAGCGACGATTCGAGGATTTGCGAGTAAAGGCGAGGGGGAGGGTGCTGGTGGTGGAGGTGGAGGAGCGCATCGGTACGAAGTGCCATTGGCTCTGCCCAGAGCGAGCTTGGGTCGCATGCCTTTCGACTTTGGTGGGGACTTGATGGAGCAGGCAGAAGGAGCGATGGATGATGCGGCCTATGCGCAGCTGGTGGAGGATGTGCGCAATGGCGATGCGAAGAGCGCGGCGTTGAACAGGGTGCCTTGGTGGGTGCCGCGCGAAGGCTTGGAAGAGGCGCTGGAGAAGCCGGGCAGGTGGAGCTTGTGGGCGGCTGAGCAGCAGCAGCAAGAGCAGCAGCAAGAGCAGCAGCAGCAGCAAGAGCAAGAACATGGCCAATCAGACTCGCGCTGCACGCTCAGCCCACGCAGCAGCAGCAGAAGCAGAAGCATCGTGGTGACGCATCACATCAGCGAGGATCACGTGCACAGGCAACAAGGAAGCTCCCTGCTGGCCATTCATGCCACCGGCGCATGCAAAGAGGTGCGCAAGCAAGCAAGCAGCAGCAGCAGCGAGCGAGCGAGACATTCGCGAGTCGCGATTCGTGATTGCCATATGCTATTCGCCGTCTCGCATGCACACACCCATGCTGACTGATCACGCCCGCTCCCGCCCGCCTCACTGGCGCATGTGCGCAAACCCCCGCGGCGGCCGCGCATGCAGCTGCTCATACCGATGATCGAAGCCTTCTTGGCATCCACAACAACCAAGATCAGCGACATTTGGCTCGTCGATTTCTTGTCCCACGGCGAGACGGAGAGGGCAAATGCGAGCAGAAGAGATGCTGGCGATATGGGCACGCACAGTCACGACCGGATCAGTTGAGTGGGGGCGGGCGGGCATGACATGACATGACGCGCGGGCGGTAAGTAGATGCTGTGTTGCATGCGCGCGCTGACACGCTCTCCCCCCCTTCCCCCCGCGCTGCAGTCGACCACAACGACTTGGCGAGGGATGTGTTGCAATTCCTGCACGCTTTTCGGCCCTCTTCGCTCCACGACTTGGCAGCAACGCGGGAGAAGCGCAGCAGCAGCAGCAGCAGCAGCCAGCACTCGCACTCGCACTCGCACTCGCACTTGCTGCCCGTGCGGCCCAGCGCAGCTGCCAAGCCCTCACCCATCATCGCCCTCGGTCACAGCGTCGCTTCCACTGCGCTGATCCAAGCAGCTCTGCACGATCCAGACACGTTTCGAGCAGTGATAGCCATCGAGCCCATCATCGCTCCTTTTGCTGGCATACAGATGGCAAAGAGGATACCCGTCGCAGGATTCGCTCTCAGGCGCACCGACACGTGGCAGAGCGCAAGGGATGCGAGGGAAAAGTGGGAGCGGAATGAGCAGGGAAAAGGCGGCGATGCGATGATCAGGGATTGGCATCCCCGCTGCAAGCAAATCTTTTCCGTGAGTGGATGTGCTGTGCTGTGTGTGCTCTGCGGTTTGGCTGCTTTTTTGCTTGGGACCCCCGGCGCTCGCTAGCCAGGCGTGACATGCTGAATTCGCTTCTCGAATGAACGCGCGATGATGACACATCTGGGCAGGTCTATGGTCTGCGATCCGATGACGCTAGCGGTGGCGTCCGTCTAGTGTGCGACAAGTATCTCGAGGCAGTAAGTCGCTGAAGGTGGTGCAGCGCTTCTTTCCCTCGATCAGCACTGACTTGCTCCACCGCGCTGCTTCCTCGCAAGTGCTCCTTGCGATTCTCGATTCCAGCGCTCCAGCTACCTTGCACGCTGCCTCATCTCTCCGTGCCGCTCCTCTACCTCTCCGCCTCGCGGCCGCTCATGTTGCCGCCGGATATGGTGCAAGGTATAGCCGAGCTGGGAGGTTCTCTGGTCGACTACGAGGTGGTGCAGGGTGGACACTTTGTGCCGATCGAGCGTCCAGAGGAAGTTGGAAAGGTCATTGGTCGATGGACTCGGCTGAAGGGTAGTAGGGAGAAACTGTGAAAAGGTGACGGCATCGGCATCCTCTGGCGACGTGTGCACGCCGTGTGGACTACAGCGCGTCGAGCCACTCCTTGAATTTGAGCCTCATTGTACCTTCTTCGCACCGTTCCCTTGTGCGTCAGACCCAAACCTTCTCGCATCACGTTGACTCTTTCCATCTCTATTTTTGCCATTGGCGTAATTAACTGCGCATTGTACTCTTGCAACGCATCTTTGAGCACGCCTTGACCGAGCACTTCTGGCCGCGGGCTCTGAATCAGACGAGCGCTCCACGGCTTGGCGTGCCCCAGCACTTGAACAGCCGTGACGGTGTCGGGAGGCGACCTGTCTCGCAGACACTTGGCCAACTTGGCTTCCAAGGCGCTGACATTGGCGCTGAGAGTATTGGCGTAGACGATGACGTCACTCGACCTGCCCACCAGCTTCCAAAAGGTTTCCGTCTGACCAGGAGCGTCGGGTAGGCGCACGAACAGGTCGGCCAGGTTGATGCACGGTTTCCCGTGGTCTGCACCTGGACCGGCAAAAGGTTCCACTTTGACGTGGATGCCTCCTTGTTGAATGTTGCCCTGCAGCTTGGGGTTGCGCTCAACGATGCTCCAAGCTTGATATTCCGTCTCTGTTGTCTGTCTATCGTTATCAGAAGACGAAGGGAGCGGCGTAAAGACGAGGTGATTGGAGCCCGGCCCCGCAGCCAGGGCGTCCAGCCTCGTGGGAGGCGATTTGGAGGACATGACGCGTCCAAATTCCGAAACACCGTAGATGTTGTGCACCTGCTTGATGCCAAAGTCGCGAAAGAGCGCGTCCAAGTGAGGCTCTACGGGTGCGCCCATGACTGCCAAGCTGTTCAACTTTCGCAGTGCAGCCTCGTAGCGCGCATTGCCGCGTGCGATGCGAACCATCTCTTCTGCGACGGTGGGGTAAGTGCCAAAGTGAGCCGCATCGGACAGGGCGATGGTTTCCAGCCACTCTGTGGGCGTGCATGTCTTGCCATCTGCAGGGTGCGGCACGATGACCGGCTGACCGACGATCCACTGCAATGTAATGTAGGCCGTGTAGCTGGGTTTTGTTAAGCGAGGCGCATGCGCATGGGCCGGCGGTGTGCGGTGTGCGGTGTGCGGTGCGGAGATTAGTCGACGTTCGTGCACCTCTCCGGGCACTCGAGCACGAGCACGAGCACGAGCACGAGCATGAGCACGAGCACGAGCACGAGCACGAGCACGAGCACGAGCACGAGCACGAGCACGAGCACGAGCACGAGCGTGAAAAAGAAGCAGTTGGTGATGAGGACCCTGCCTCGCTGATGGAGCTGTGATGGCAGCGTATCCGCTTGAGCACCCAGAAAGGCCATGGCCGTGCGCTTCAAGCCGCGAGACCAAAAGTCGATGGCAGTGAAGCAGTGCTTGGGCACACCTGTGGAAGCGGAAGTGTGATTGACCAGAGCAGGATGAGGCATCTTGATGGTGCGCGGCCATTCGGGCACTATGCCACCGCGTCCGCGTCCGCGTTGGGGAGGGATGGCGGGAAGGGACTTGGTATCATCAGTACGGACGGGGCACGACGAGGCGGGGGCCTTCAGCCAGGCAGGCAGGCAGGCAGGC